GTGTAGTGGTTTCATGTAAGTGTTGTCCCACCAAAAATTAATATATTTAATGTTGTTATTTAGCCTTCTAACAGAATTCATGGATAATTTCAGCTAAGAGAAAGTTTTATACAAATTAGGTCATGTAAATGAGGGAAATAGGAGACAGAAATTAAAAATAATCTGCAAAATCAAACATGCAGAGCTGTGGTCACCTCTTGTGAAAGGCTTGTAAGGGAGCAGCTGAAAGTAGATTCAACCAAGAACCAAGAAATCCTCAAAAATGCAGAAAATATATGATCTTATATTTTACTTACTCTACCAAACCTAAATAACAACTTTCACCGTGAGCAGCATATCTCTGGTTCCTCCTGAAAAAGGTGTTGATAGTGATCTTGGAATTATCCCAGTTCTCTTAATGTGAAGTTAGTGGATTTTATTTTTTATTTTTAAGTGAGGATTAAATGAAATGATAAAATTCAGTTTAAAACATTAACGTCCACAAATATCATTGTGTTTGATTACAAAAATGTTTCAGTGCTTTTTGTTTAATTTGTAGATGCTTTCTCTTAGCTTTAACTTTTAACATAAATAGTCTTCAAAGCATTCACCAGCAGTGCTGTCTAACCCAATGCTTTTAAGACCACGTATGCTCAAGCTGGAGAAACTACAATGTTAATATTACAATATTGGTATTTTTCTTAACCTGGTAAAATAGGAGGTGATATTTTGTTGTCCTGTTGAGTCCTATGACTACCTATGTAGCTATGTACCTATAAATCTACATTTTATTAAGGGTCTTTTATATTATACTGCTGTTTTTTTAACAAGGTGCAGCTGTGTATACTGTATTTAGCCACCTGTTTCCCAGCCTTGCAGTACTATCTGCAGACTCTTTGCCACGATTTGAAGAATCTGAGAATCAGACGACAGGTAGAGTCTCAGAGAGAGAGCGAGATGCTCGGGGTGGACTTGATGTGTAAATTTGTCCCTGTCAGCAGACTTGTAGATTGAGTGCATTGTGAGTCAGAAATAGCGCGAGTGCACAGGAGATGGTGCTGTTTGTGTATATTTAGACATTCAAAAAATAATGATATGACAGCGACATCACATCAGATAGCAGCATGAGGAGCTGGCCTTGCGTAAACCCTGGATTAGGACTTGAAAACAGCTTGCGTTTGTAAGCAGGGCCGCAGGCCAGGACTCACGCTGTGCGAAATCGATACTTCTGATCTGAGCTTTTCTTTCACAGCCTTGTTAGCTTGATGTCCCAACCCTTTGCGCACACAGGACACCTGTGTTTGGAGCTCCTGAGCTCAGCACATGCTCCAGGAGCAACGTTAGTGGCTCCTGTTACTCTGAGATCGTCAAAAGTCAGTTTGAAACCAAGTTGTACTGCACAGCCTTTTCAGTGTCGGTCGCAGAGAATACGAAACATGCTAAGTTTTTAAAAAGCGTGTCCACTGGAATTATTCTTAATATAAGCAAGAGGTTACTGGGGCTCCTACAATAGAAACCTTCAATGTGGGTTTCATTTATAGGTTCAGCGTCAGATTTCACAGCAGCTCTAACCGGATGTGTCTGCAGTACCAGCACCTTCACTAAAGCTGTAATGGTTAGAAAAACACTGCCCTTGGAACCTGAGCTGCAGAGCTCATCGCCAAACATGAGACTACTGTACTGTAGTTACTGTCATTCATTGCAGTAATAGGTCCATGATTGCAGAAGACATGTTTTTACACGCTGGTGTGGTAGCTGCATCAGAATAAACTTCGTACCATACTGCACTGAAATGTAACTCGGGGTGGATCGCTGTCTCTCAGTGAAATGAAGGAATGTGTTTAACTAAAATCTCAGGCAAAGTCACAACTCGGGGAAAATTTTAACTGACGACTTTCTGACAACATATGTGATCACGCAGCAGTTAGCACAGAGATGCAGTGTTGGCTTTTCGTAGTTAACATTAGGGGAATATATAAGTAAAGCTACATCATGCAGAAACCTTTAGAAGGAAATAAATCAGTGCCAACATTTGAATTTGACAGCAGTCCACCTACACCGCTCCCCTCTGTCCTGATTTCCTCCCATCAAGTGACACAAGAGTCAAGCCCCACTAAATATCAATAACCCCACTACTACAAGTCAAACTGAAGAGTGTTACTGTCAAGGTCTTCTTGTCCTGATAAAGCAGTGCTTTTGTGTCAGCATAACTTCATTCATAACTACATTCAGCATAAAGAAAGAGATCCAGAAGAACAACAGAAAGCGGAACACAAGACTAAAGGTGGGTATTAGAAAGGGAAAATAGAAGGCAGACTGGGCACGGGTAAAAAGAAGTAAATACAGATAAACCCACAGTTACAAAAACAGGAAGCAAAGCAGCAAGGAAGTCACTGCAGCTTATGGTTTAGTCATGAACAAACCTGTTAAACCAAAGGAAGTTTTTGTCCTCTGAGTTTATCATGAAGCGTTAAACAAAAATAATCTTGGCTCTCTTCTTCTAAGTTTACATCTGCAGAAATCTTCCCATCTTGTGCATGCAACACATCGTAAGTTTTAAAGCTGGACTAACAAACTAAAACCAAAGAAGGGTCCAGAAGCCATGTTTCCTATCAAATAACTGAACTTGTCTGAGGTCTTTGTACCTGTTTGTTCATTTCCCTGCTAGATGTCAGCGTCAGCTAAATGCCTGAAATGTAAAAATGTAGTGTGACTGGGGCAGGAGGCCAAATGGAAGTGCCAGCTTAGCAGAGATATAAACTGTCCCGCGCTGCTCCGCGATGAGTGATGCAGTGACAAATGTGACACGGGGGGGAAGCTGGGGCCCAAGAGGGACGATGACACCAGCAGCGAAGCACGAGGGTACAAAATATCACAGGAGCGTCCGGGCTGTGAGGAGAGGGCGAGCGGTGATAGTTAACGATGGCCTCGCTTCCCGTCGATCGCATGCCTTTACGGTGAGATTGACCTGTTTGGATTGCTGTAGTGGGAGGTGTGTGTCGCTCTGAGATGAGATGCAACATGCGGACATGTGCACCGGTTTGTAATTTATCATCATGTGAGCCTCGCAGATTCCTGCTGTATCCACTCCTCTCAGCCTCTACCTCTTTATGTGCTTTTGCTCTCCATCCAGCACATTCTCACTGCAGCTCCAGTTCTAGTTTTGTTTTCTTTGCTCTCCTGAGTGATGCAGTTCAGCCTAAAGCTTTACATTACACAAGAAGATGACCTAATAAATATCCTTTGTCTGCTTATTTAAACAGGCATCCGTCCTCTCTTATCCTGCATTGCAGTTTTTCTGTTTTTCACCCGGAAGCAGACGTTTTTAACACAGATTTGGTTTCAGGTTTTCAGATGTCTGTCTAAGAAGAGGGATCCATTTTCTCCAGAATTATGTTTTCCTACTTGAAATGCTCATTTCAAAGTTTTCACTTTAATAGTAATTATGCAGAGCTGAGAACTGTGCTTTGCAGGCACCATAGAGTTCTGAACAAATACAGAAAACTCAGC